GCAGGGCGCGGGGTGGCCCTTCGGGCGGCGGCCCCCCGGAGGGGCGCGAGGCCTCGGCCGGGCCCCGCGGCGCCGCGGCCCTGCGGCGCGGCTGCGAGCCGCCCGTCGCGGCCGAGGCCTCTGCCTGCCCCGCCGTGCCGCGAGGATGCTCCGTGCCCGAGGCCTCCGCTCGTCCCCCCCGCGGTCCGGAGCCGCTCCCCGGGGCCGCGCCGTGCCAGAGCCGCTCGCCGCGGTTTCCCGGTTTCTCCGTCGCCGCTGGGCGCTCGGGCCGGCCGTGCTTTTCCCCGTGGCCGTGAGGCGCCGCTCGCCCTGCCCGAGCCCTGCGGCCCCGCGGCCCTTCCGCTCGCCGTCTTGCCCGAGGTCTTTGCCGTGGCCTCGAGGCGCTCGTCGCGGCGCAGGCTTTACCCCGGGCCGTCACCTCCGTGCCCCGAGGTGCTCGCTGTGTCCGAGGCCTTCGCTGCCGTCTTTACCGCGGCCGTGAGCTGTTTGCCGTGGGTCAGGGGCTTCGCCGTGGCTCGCAGGCTCTCTTGTTGGAGCCGAGGGGTTCTCCGTGGCCCCGAGGTCCTCACCTGGAGCCTGAGGTGCAGAACCTGGCGGTGTTCTGCTCGCTCTCTCCTTCCCAATGGGAGAGGACTGAAAAAACTGAGCTTTAAGGTTCTTGCCGTGGCTGAGATCCCTGCCAAGGTCTTCACTGCAGCCTTGAGATGCTCAGCACAGCCAGAGCCTTTGCCATGACCCAGCGCCTGCACCACAGCCGAGGTCTTTGCTGTGGCCTTGAAGCCTTGATGCTTTGGCTGTGGCTGCGGCCATCACCAAGTCCTGGCTGCAGACCTGAGGTGCTGCACGTGGCCAAAGCTCTCACTGCGGCCCAGAAGCAGCTGCTGTGGTGCTGAAGTTGTCGCTGTGGCTCCTGCTGTGGCCCTGTGCTCTCACAAAGCTGTCTGCTGGGGCACTGAGTGTGCAACTAGAGTTGCTCCCCGTGGCCCTGAGCTGCTCCTCATTGCCCTCCGTGTGGCACTGATGCCTCCCCGTGGCCTCGAGGCTCTCCCCATTGCCCTGTGCGTGGCCCCGAGGCGCTCACCGTGGCCCTGAGGTGCTCGCTGTGGGACCACAGCCCACGTCACTGTGACCGTGACCCCCTCCGTGCCCCCTGTTAGCTGGCTGGGGGCCCCGGATAGCTCTGGTTGGAGAGGGCCGGGTCTCCCTCGGTATCCCTGCCTGCCATAGGGGCCCTGTGGGGCGATGCTCTGCCACCACCCACCGCTGCCCTTTCCTTTTCTCCCCTCCCAGGTGCCGGGGCGAGGGGATGAGGTGCCCCCCTGCCGCGTGGTGTGCCGAAGCGGCTCTTTAGATCCTCCCCGGCCCAAGCCTCCCCTGCCATGGATACCTCGGGGGCCGTTGCTTCGGCTCCCTCCTCCGCGGCTCCCTCGGGCTCCCGCAGCCCCATGTTTCCCCCAGGAGCTGACAGAGAGGAGTGGGGACCGAGGTTCAATTGTGCCCCTTCCACCTCTGCCGCAGCCTCGCAGGCGATGCCAGCATCTGGCCGGAAGAGGAAGGCCAACTTCTCCAATGACGAGACCGAGACGTTGGTCTGGAATGTGGTCCGGCATTTCAGCGCCCTGTATGGGTCAGAAGCCCTTCGGGCTCACCCTGTGCGGCGGAAGCAGCTCTGGACCCAAATCCAAAGCCGTGTCAACTTCCTGGGCTACACCGAGCGCTCCATCGACGACCTCAAGCACAAGTGGCGCGACCTGCGGTTGGACGTCAAGAAGAAGATCACCTCCAAGAAGCACCTGCCCATGAACCGCGCCGGCGGGCCGCTCCACAAGCCGCGCCTCACGCCCCTGGAGAAGATGGTGGCTTCCACCTTCTTGCAGGCCAGTCACGACTCGGAGCCCGAAATCATCCTGGATCCAGGTCAGTCGTGTTGGTTGTCCGGGGCTGGGAGAGCTGGGGCAGCAGAGTGCTGTGCTGCAGCCCTGCCTGCGCTCTCAAGTGATGCTGCCCTGGTAATGTCACTGGGCTGCGGTGCCCCAAGCTCCAGGGTCTGCCGAGCAGTTGGATGGTGGAAGGAGACTTGTGGGTTTTGCTCTCCTATGTGGTTTGTGTCGGGATTGCAGGGCTGCAGTCCCGTATCTGAATAGCAAAGCACCGGGGTTGGAAGCTGAGTAAGCTGGAATTAAAATCCACCGTGGGAATAACCTGGGATTGACATGAACGCGTCAAGCATTGTGGAATGGGTACTTGTTGTTGTTGTTAAGTCCAGTGTGCTGCCTGGCATCGCTGGATACTGTCTGAAGGCAGCCAGTAGAAGACAGGATAGGATTTTATTCCCCCTGTTCCTTTCAGTGTTAGTGTCCCTCACTTTTAGCTGAAGCCAGAGAGAGTGGGAGCAGCTGCTGCATTACTGTGGTGTTGTGTGAGGCTGGGGCTTCCTGGGCACGCTGCGCCCTCTGCTATCTGCAGAATACATCTGAGTCGTGGTCTCACGTGGGTTCTGCTGTTGGGTGACACTTATTTCCCTCAGATAACCCAGGAGATGCTTGCAGGGACAATGCTGGGGTTAAGTAGCCAATGCTGTGGACTGGGCCACCAATGTGCTTGGTCACTGGCCAGGAGGCAAACATCCCCTCCGCCGTTTCATTTCCACCAAGGGGACATGTCTGTGTTCTTTGTACCCTCGAGGACACCAGCAGCTGTTCCTGCTCCTTCCTCTCCTCTTCACCAGGTTCCACAGGAGATGGGTGGGCAGCGTGGCTCTAGTTTCTCTTCTGAAGCAGACTCGGGCTGTTTCAGAACCAGAACCCCTTCTTAGTGCGGTGCAGAAAAGTTTTGGGCTTGAGGAGGAGGACTGGGGGGTGCCAGCCCAGTCCTGTGGGCAGGTGATGGCAAGCAGCCACGCAGCTTGTCCCTTTAGGAGGCACTTTGGTGTTAGCAGGTCACCCTCTTGCCCTTGACGCCGTGCCGCTGTCGCCATGACTGAGGCTGGATTCTCTCTGTCCCACAGATCTGTTCTTCCCCGGTGCATCCAAGCAGTCCTTCATGCACCTGCAGCCCGGTGTGAGCCACCCCAGCATTTACATTGACACCAACGGGCAGCCCTCCTCCCTGCCCGACGTGGAGGGCTCCGCTGCGCCCCGGCTGGCGGTGCAGAGCCCCGACCCCTCGGTCATCTGCGAGTACAGCCGAGGGGAAGGGCAGAGCAGCTCGGGTAAGGCTGTGCTGGGGCTTCGTGGGGGGGGAAGAGGAGGGCAGCGGTGGCTGTTTGGAGCCTGGGGACCTGGCTGAGGTGGGGAGTGGTCTGCACCAGGAGCGTGGTCCTGGTGTGGAAGAGCCCGGCTCTGAGCCCAGCCCCATGGGTGCTGCCTCCACGTCTGCACAGCCCAAAAGGCTGTGGGTGCGTGAGCCCAGAGCACGGTTCTGCAAGCACCAGTGCTGTTCAGTGGCAGGAATCATAGAATTGTGTAAGTTGGCGTTTAAGGAAGAGACCTTCAAGATTAAATCCAACCACTGCGGTTCTCAACAAAACAACTTCCGTGTCCACGGCCCCTGCTCTGTGAGCAGTGTTTGTGCAGCGGATCCAAGGGAGGACAAAGGCTGCGGTGTTCCTTGCAGCACTGGGCCTGCGGAACCAACAGCTGTGGGTGCCGGGAGGTGTGCAGGGAAGGCATGCTGAGGGTCGGACAGAGCTTCAGGAAGGGGTGCGGGCAGCGCTGAACTGATGTGGCAGCGATGTGTGCTCACAGGAGGGTTTCTGTTCTCTTCCAGCCGAGTCGGGAGCGGAGCTGCGGACTCCGGACATGACAGCCATATCCCCATCCCTGCGCAACGAGTCCCTGGTGTCCTACGCGTCCATGTCGGAGGAGGAGGAACGGGAAGGCCGGGAGGTGGAGAGGGGCCACGGCGGGGCGGCGGGGCTGCAGCCCGGACCCGAGGCCCCAATGTCAGCAGAGGAGGACATGAAACTGTCCCGCCAAGCCATGCTGATCCGCCGCTGCAGCTCCCAGGGCTCCGTCACCTCCCTGCCCGAGGACCCTCTCAACCCCGCGGACGCTCACTCGGACTGGGGCCACGACGGTGCGTCCGAGCTGCCCGCCCTGGGCCGCGCCGTCGACTCCTCGCACCCCGAGGAGCAGGCGGGGGGCTCGGGCCCGGAGGCGGGCTCTTTGCCCAGGGTACTGATGGGGCCCGCCTGGGAGAAGCCCCCCGACGAGGATCCCCCGGCTCGCTCCCCGCTGCACGGCGGCGCCCTGACCGAGGAGTCGCTGCCCTCCTCTGCCTCTCCCCCAGGCGACGCCCCGGCCGCCCCCGGCCGCGGCCCGGGCTGCTCCCGCCTGCGGGAGGAGCGCCGGGACAGCTGGAGGACTAACATCCATCACCTGCTGGACCTGGAGGAGCAGTGGGACCAGCTGTACCACCAGGAGCTGGCCATGTGGCAGGAGGAGCGAGCCACGCAGCGCGAGGAGCGCGCCCGGGACCGCGAGCTGCAGTTCCGCCTGCTGGGCGTCCTGACGGACATCCGCGACGAGCTGCGCTACCTGCGCCAGGAGCGGGCCGGCGCCCGCCAGAGCCAGGGGCCGCCTCCGGAGCCCCGGCCGGAGCCCGGCCCGCTCCTCGAGCAGCCCAAAGCCGAGCCCGGCTTCCCCGAGCCGCAGGCGGCGAACGCCGGCTGGGCGGAGACCGCCGCGCCCGGCCGCGGCTCCTTCGGTAACCGGGGCCGCGGCCGTCGCAGGGGCCGACCGCGCGGCTCGGCCTCCAGACACAGACGGCTGTTCCTCGCCAACAGCTAGGGCGGGAGGGTGCCGTCCCGCGAAGGACGTGGTGTGCGTACAGCCCTGCCCGGAGCCGCGTGTTGCTCGCGGGGGCCGGGAGGAGGTCGGTGCCCGCCGTGCCGGCACGAAGGTACGGGGCTGCGGGCGGCCGGCACCGTGCGCGCCTGCCCGCCTGCCCGCGTGTGCGAGCCCAGGCTGGGGGTGCAGCGTCGCACACGCGAGGTTCGTGCGCGCGCCGTGCCGATGGGGCGCGCGTGCGACGGCGCATAGTGGAGTAGGATTTTACTACCTTGGGGGGGGTGGGGAAGTGTTAGGAACACTTTTAGTCGCTGGTGGGCGAACATTTTATGCAAATCATTTAATGACCTAATTTGCATATAACCATAAACTTCTGTTTCAAAAAAAAAAAAAAAAAAGGCAAAAAAAGGCAAAAAAAAAAAAAAAAAAGAAGCCATCACTGCATGTGTTGACTCAGTGTTCCCCATCCCCCACGGTCCAAGCGCGGCCCATGCTGGGGTGACAGCGCGGTGTGCTGTCCCCGCGAGGCTGAACGTGTCACCGCGTGTGGGTGATGGCGCTGCAGTCCTTGCTGGGCGGCGCGGGTCCCTTTTGGGAGACAACAAGCAGCCAAAGGAGTGAGACGGGCACCGGGTCTTATTCCTGGTGCCGGTTTGGAAATGCAGGGGGGATGCGGGGAGGGGTGGGCTCTGCGCGCAGCCCAATTCTCAGGGCCAAGAGTTCAGCGAGGGAAAGGAAAATGAGAAACGCCGCGTGTCCCTGCGGGGCTGCTCTGCTTCCAGCCCCTGCTCCGGCTCGGGGGACACCGCCACTGTCCTGGGGTGGCTTTGAGCGGGGACCCCACGGGGCCAGGGCGAAGGCGCGGCAGCCCAGCACGACTTTATTCTGCGTTGCACCGTCCATACAAAACGACACCCCAAGCACTGTACAGAGCGGGACGGCACGGGGAGTAAAAATAAGCGGGGGGATGGGGGGGGGGGGGCAGAGCGGCAGGCGGGGACGGGGACGCGGCCGGCGGCGGCAGCTCCGCCCGTCGTTCCCCGGATTGTCGGGGTTGGGGTGAGCGCGGGGCTGCGAGCGGCTGGCCTCGGCGGGGCCGGCCGCCCGCGTTTGGTACGAAGCTCCGTGGCCGACGCGAGCCGCCGGGGGCGGGGGGGGGGCCCTCAGTCCGCAGCTGCGGGCCGCCCCTCCCTAATCTCCGGGGGGCAACCCGGGGGGCTGCGGCGGCGGCGGGGGTCCGGCTTCGGCCCCGTGCACGCGCTGGTGGTCCTTGAGGGACTCCTTGTAGCGGAAGCTGCGGCCGCAGGCAGGGCACTGGTAGGGCCGCTCGCCCGTGTGGATGCGCTGATGCTTGAGCAGGTTCTGCTTGCGGATGAAGCTCTTCCCGCAGGCGGCGCAGACGAAGGGCCGCTCCCCGGTGTGCAGCCGCTGGTGGTTCTGCAGGTGCTCCTTGCGGCTGTAGCACTTCCCGCACTCGGTGCACTTGTAGGGCCGCTCGCCGCGGTGGATCATCTGGTGCCGCACCAGCCCCGAGTGACAGTTGAAGCTCTTGCCGCACTCGGCGCACGGGTACGGCCGCTCGGCCGCGTGGCTGCGCTGGTGGATGCGGAGGCTTTTCTTCCCGCTGAAGCTCTTCCCGCACTCGGCGCAGCCGTGCGGACGCTCCTCCGACACCGACACCGGCACCGGGACCCCCACCGGCTCGGCCGCCGGCCCCGGTTCGGCGCTCAGCGCTTTGCTCAGTCTGTGCTGCGCTGCCGCGTTGCCCCCGGCCGCCGCCGGCACGGCCTGTCCCTCCGGGGTCCCAAAGCTCGGGGCTGGGAAGAGCAGCTCGCCCGAGGCGCCCGGCAGCACTTCCTCGGGAGGCTCGGCGCGGGGACAGCGCTGCTCCTCCATCTTCACCAGCAGCGCCTCACCGGCTGCGGGGGGAAAGCTTTGGTCAGCAGCTGGCGGGCAGTGGGGCCATACCGACAACGTGCTCTGCACTGCATCCCCGGCATGGAAGCACCGGGGTCGTGGGAACAACGTGGTCTCCAGTGCATCCTGACCATAGAAGGACTGGGGTCACGGCGACAATGTGGACCCCAGGGCACCGTCAGGACAGAGCAGCCTACACACCCTAAAATCCACTCCTGCTTCAACCAGGGCACCGCAGCACACAGGCAGGGCTGTCCTCGCCACCGCCACGATGCCCATCAGGGCACCCCAATGGGGTCTCCCCAATGCCACCCCCAACCCACATCAACACCAGAGCACAGCACCACAGGGGCACGGCCTCACTGCCACTGTGACACCCACTGGGGCAAAATGGGGGCCAAACCCCAGCACATATCGGCACAGTCTGCAGTGGCTGTGGGCTGTTGCTCACCGGGGCCAGGACCAGGGACGGGACCAGGCAGGATTTCCCTCTCTGGCAGCTCCCAGGGTTCCCTGACGCACGGTTCCTCCTCCTGCTTGATCCACGACAAGAAGTCGTGAGCTGTGATCAGGGCGTCTGCACCTGTGGGGAAGGACAGGGATGGGGACATGGGGCTGTGGGGAAGGGACCGTGCTGAGGGACGGCAGATGCTGCGGGCAATGGAGACTTCACCTGCACAGGGGTCGGTGGGCATCCCCCGCTCCTCCCCAAACTGCTGCTCCCCAACAAATGCCACCTCCTGCTTGATCCGGGACAGGATGTCGGAGGTGGAGATCAGCGGCTCTGTGCACAAGGAGAGATTTGGGCGGCGCCGGGCTGCGGCCACCCAACACAGCCCCACACACTGCCCCAGGGTGTCCCCTGTCCCACAGCAGTGACGGGACTGTGTACAGCTCCCCAGTGGAGCTGTGGGTAACCATAGGACATGCCATAGGGGCAGGTGACCATGTGACATCCCATAGGTTGGGCAACCACAGGATATCCCATAGGGATGGGTGGCCACGAGGCATCCCATGGGATGGGTGACCATGGGACATTCCAAGAAGACAGATGACTGCAGGACATGCCACAGGGACAGGTGACCATGGGACATCGCAAAGAGATGAGTGGCCACTGGATATCCCACAGGTGAGCACAGAATGGCCCATGGGGATGGATGACCACAGGACATCCCACGGGGTTGTGTGAACATGGGATGTCCCACGGTGTTGGGTGAACATGGGACATCCCACAGGATTGGGTGAGCACAGGATATCCCGTGGGGTTGGATGACCATGGGACATCCCACAGGGTTGGTGACCACTGGATATTCCATGGTGACAGGTGACCATGTGATAAGGACGGGTGGCCATCAGACATCCTGTATGGTTGCGTGACGACAGGACATCCCATGGGGGTGGGTGACCAGCAGACATCCATCCCATGGGGACAGGTGACTACTGGATGGTGTTGGCTGACGGCAGCCCAGCACACAGGGCCATGTGACAACAGGGTATGCCAAAGCGATGGGGGACCACGGGGTGTCCAATGGGGACGGGTGACCAAGCACAGCCGGTGGGACCGGATGGCCTCAGCACAGCCTGTAGGGACGGGATGCTGGAGGTGTGCACCCTACAGGCAGCGGGGCTGGGGCCGAGACGGTGCCTCACCCGCACAGGCATCTGCCGGCATCTCGCGCTGCTCCAGGTCCTGCTGATCGGGGACGCAGGGCACGTCCCCACGCTCCAGCCGGGGCTGTGTGTCACTCCTGGACAGTGCGGCATCTGCTCGGGGGGACACAACGCACGTCACAGCAGCGGCCGGGCCGTCCCTGTGATGGTGCTGGGGAACGGGCAGGACAGCTGCGATATGGGCCCGACGGGGCCGTGTACCCAGGGAGATGAGCGACTCGTAGTTCTCCTTCACCAGGTTGTTGTACAGCTCCTTCTGCCACTCCTCCAAATTCTTCCACTCCTCCGCCGAGAAGTAGACGGCGATGTCAACAAACGTCACCGGCACCTGAAGGGACAAAACCCTGCAGCTCAGCGCTGCCATCCCGATGGGCTCCGGGACCCCCTGCCCCCCACCTGGCCCCGGCACGGCCCCACCTTGGGCACCTCCCCACGGGGGCCGGGGGGCAGGCGCAGCACCCAGAAGTTCCTGTTCTTCAGCAGGTTCTCCACGTGCTCCAGCCGCCGCTGCAGCAGCCCGTACTCCTGGATGAGGGTGCCCAGCACGGCCCATTTGCTCTCCAGCTGGTTGCCGAACTCCATGGCGGTTTTCTCACAGTCCAGGAGTTTCTTCTCGGCCGTTCCTGAGCGGCCCTCCAGGCTGAGCAGCCGGGTGGCCAGCAGGTCGATCTTCCTCTCCATCGCCTGCACTGTGGCCACCACCGTCCACAGCGACGCCTCGGCTGAGTGCAGCTGTGCCTCCCTCACGTGCGCCCGCTCCGGGAGCAGCGGTGGCTGCAGGGGCATCAGGTGGGGGGGTTCCACGTTCCACTCCTGCACCTGTGTGGGGAGGCACGCGCTGGGGGGCCGCGGCAGCGCTGCTCCTTGTGACCCCGCGTCGTCCCAACCCCGTTCTGTGCCCGAGCCCAGGAGAGGCTGCAGCACGAGTCACGGGGCTGCAGAATCACAGAGCTTGGAGCAGGACCGTCTCGTCCGACCACCAACCCGTCCCCACCAATGCCTGCTCCTACAACCATCGAACCTTCGTGGTTGGACAGGTCCTCCACCACCGTCAATTCCCACCGCGCCCCACCCCCACAGCCCCACTCTGAGAATCACAGAATGAGAGAACCACGAAGGTTGGAAAAGACCTCTGGGATGACGCCCAGCCATCCCCACCAACCCGACTTCCATAGAACCACGCAGGTTGAAGAAGACCTCCAAGATCACCAGGTCCCACCACCGCCCCCTCCGCGCCGTCAGAGGATCACCGAGGATGGAAGACCACCTCTCCAACGACCAGCCACCCATCAGCCCATCCCATCCCATCCCATCCCATCCCATCCCATCCCATCCCATCC